CAAAGTTCCATGCACGGTCCAGCCTGCACAAAATAGGGACACACCCTCTTCTTGTGGGGATAGCAAGGTGAAGACCACAACTGAACGCAAAGTCAATGTCACTCCTGGCATAGAACTCACGTCGAAGGACACCCAGAGAGGCCAAAGTGTAACTAAACGGTCACTGAGATTCTCAAGAAGAGTTCGCCAATTGCATTAAGATATATTCAATCGTTTTATGAAAACCCTTTCTACACAGTGTATGAACATGTCCACGTGAAATATTGTAGCTTTCATTTGATCACCACAATATATGTAAATTTGAATTTAATTTGTAAGTCTCCTTGAATTGTAGAATTGATCTAGTGATGATTATACTTACTGATCTATTACGTTTTGTGTTGTTTGTTTTGTTTTAATTCGCCCATTTACGGCAACTTTAAATTACCTCATAAAAATCAGTTTGTAAGTCTAGTGATCATGCGGTGGTACTGCTTGAGTGGGTCTACTGATCATGTAGTAATCCTGCTGTTTGGTTTGGTTTGTTGTTTTACGCCGCTCTCAGCAATATTCCAGTGGCCTGTAAATAATCGAGTCTGGACCAGACAATCCAGTGATCCATATCACGAACATCGATCCACGCAATTGGGATCGATGACATGCTTCAACCAAGTCAGCGAGCCTGACCACCCGATCCCGTGAGTCGCCTCTTACGACAAGCATAGTCGCCTATTACGGCAAGCATGGGTTGCTGAGGACCTATTCTACCCCGGATGTTCACGGGTTAGTAAAACTGCTGAAGAGACTTTACTGATGATATAGTGATATTTCCAGCAAGTTCACCAACCACCAGCTCTGCTAAATCTATGCTGTTGTAGTCCCTGTTGTAGTCATTCTTCTGACCAGGTTCTCGGGGCTCTGTTGTAGTCATTCTTCTGACCAGGTTCTCGGGGCTTTGTTGTAGTCATTCTCCTGACCAGGTTCTCGGGGCACTGTTGTAGTCATTCTACTGACCAGGTTCTCGGGGCTCTGTTGTAGTCATTCTTCTGACCAGGTTCTCGGGGCTCTGTTGTAGTCATTCTTCTGACCAGGTTCTCGGGGCTCTGTTGTAGTCATTCTACTGACCAGGTTCTCGGACCATTCTAACCCCGGATCTTTCCGGGTCGCAATATAAGTACACGCATTATTAACGAAATGTGATTTTTTCCCCCGTTTAACAAAGCCAATGACAAAACAAGGGAAACAAGTCACACAATTATGATGTCTTGTTTAGTGTTACCAACGATGGAGGGCTTGTTAAGGGCTTGTTACATCTTCGCGCACGGAGGTATCGTATCGCAGTAAAAGAACTGATTTCAATGAAACTGAATTTTTGTAGTGTAATATGCCCTCCTTCTTGAAGCGTTCGTAAATATCATCAGTCTGCAAGTTTTAGAAATGGTAGTTGCATTCCTATCGAAAAAATAACATAAGTGAAACTTTGTTTAGGTGTATAGACACGCCTATGCGACGCTGTAAGGAAACACAACGCACTCATAACGCAGTTATTAAGCCACACATGTATGTTGTTGAATGAATCGCCGTAAATGAAATAAACGACTACAAGTATATGTAGCACGTGTCTGCATTTTATGTAAATAACATGCACCTCATCCCCACAGTGTGTCCACGTCCATCTCTTCGGGGAGATGCGGCGAGGAGCGCAGAGATCACTGCCCGTCCCGGACAAGACCTGTCCATTTTATTGTCTTCTAGAGAATGAACTCTTTTATTCAATCTCCAGGACTTATTTTCGACGGTCTTGTGCTACAGAGATTTGTATTCTGTATCACACGCAGATTTGGTCAAATATCAACCAAGTTCATAAATACAAATTGCTATATAGTGTCACTGTTCATTCTTAAAATCAGCGTGGAAAACAAAAGTCAAAACAATTCCCAGATTTTATTACAAATGGAATGTTCTCTGCCAACAAAGCAGCCAATGTCAGGTATAATCATCAATATAACAATATTTCATTTAAAACATTTGAAAATAGTTATGTTTCACAATATTTATTGCTATAAGGCCACAACAATGTATTCACCGGAGTCCTCGCCTCATAAGCTGCTTGTTTTGGGGTTGTGTTCTTAGTTGCTGTCTTTGCAATAGTCGAATGGTTATCTTGGCACTAGTTAAATGGTCATCTTTGGAATAGTGAAAGGGTTATCTTTGGAAAAGTCAAATAGTTAGCATTAGAATAGTCAAATGGTCATCTTTGGAATATTCATAGGGTTATCTTTGGAAAAGTCAAATAGTTACCGTTAGAATACTCAAATGGTTATCTTTGGAATAGTCAAAGGGTTATCTTTGGAAAAGCCTAATAGTTACCGTTAGAATAGTCAAATGGTCATCTTTGGAATAGTCAAAGGGTTATCTTTGGAATAGTCAAAGGGTTATCTTTGGAAAAGTCAAAGGGTTACCGTTATCATAGTCAAATGGTCATCTTTGGCATAGTCAAAGGGTTATCTTTTGAAAAGCCAAATAGTTAGCATTAGAATAGTCAAATGGTCATCTTTGAAATAGTCAAAGGGTTATCTTTGGAAAAGCCTTACAGTTACGGTTAGAATAGTCAAATGGTCATCTTTGGAATAGTCAAAGGGTTATTTTTGGAAAAGTCAAATAGTTACCGTTAGAATAGTCAAATAGTCATCTTGAAATAGCCAAAGGGTCATCTTGGAATAGTCAAAGGGTTATCTTTGGAATAGTTATCGTTGGAATAGTCAACCAGAAAGAAACTTGAGGAATTCGAATGTTTAGTCAGTCCATGTGGGAAAGTAAGGGACTTTGTTGTGGCCTCACTCACATTCCTTTCATTAAGTTTCGGTTAAATAACAGTAAATATAAGTAGAAATTATCCTGGCGGAACTTGTTGTATTGTTGTAACCATTGTTTATTGCTGCATTGTTTACATAGCCCGTGACTATTGCTGCATTGTAAATATGTAGATACATGTATTCTGTCTCTCAAACTGTTTCAACACACCATACGACCAGTGAATCAAACTGAATCAACTACAGATGGTTTTATCACCATGTCTGTTATCGTATTTGTTGTTATTTATTTTCAATGGGGGCAGTTACTCACACATGGATATGCCAATTTCGTATGGGACAAACACACTTACAACTAAAGCATACTGATTCGCTGTGTTCGCGATTTATCTGAGAACCGAATAGAATTATGGCATCGTATATATTGCTGGAGCCCAGAAAGATGGTGGCTATATTCCAAATCAGTGTAATTTATTAACTTTCAAAAACTATACAAAACGGGATCAGAAAGAAATGTTTAGTTAATCAACAATGAACAAAAACTTTGAATGGGTTGCAGTCTCACTCAGGAATTCATGAAGAAATGGTTGGAATGTGCACGTGAGAGATGCTACCTCATTGGCCGGGTAGAGGATGACGAAGCGAACCACGCACCAATGAGAGCAGCTTAAGATGTACCACGTGGCACTAGTGATAAATCAACGTCTGGTTTTGATGGTTTGTTGAAACAGTTTGGTCTACAACTTAAATACTGAGTCACCGTATAAACGCACCACCACTGCACTTGTTTACATACAGCATGTTTGGGTACAAACAGTCCAATTATGTTAAGTAGAAACCGAATAATTAGAAACAACAAATAAGTAGAAATGTTTGTTGGTCTGGACTAACTAGAATCCCGTAAGTACCCCGTTAGCAAAACGTTTCCGAGGCCCGCGAATATTTTTTTATGGGGAATTAATAACATAACTTGAAAGGGCTTTTTTATGTTACAATTCCGGTGATGTCAACTCCTAGCAACTGAGCAACTATTAAAACATTTTGATGCACGACAATGATTGGTATTTGCAGTCTTTACCCATCCTTGCTTACAGTGCTAACACCTCACTAAGAAAAGACCCCCTGTAAATGGTGTTCCACAGAAGTAAGTGATATACAATTTTGATGCCTTGTCAGATAAGTAGACACCTTAGTGCCTGATGATAGTAGATAGTAGATATTGCCACTTAACGAGAGTCGGCTGTAGTGACGTTCGGTCTGAGTTAACTTCAGTTAAGTGAAAGGAAAGTGGGATCTGTTCGAGATATCAGTGTTCTGACGTGTGTACCAGAGTTGATTACGCCCAAATATGCAAAACATGTTTAACGCGGATAACATGAGACCACATAAAACCGGACAACACTGAAAGTAAACAAATACTTGGACCTGAATTAATTTTTTAAAATATTGGAAATATATGGACAGGAATAAGAGATGTTGTACATTTGTCAATTTATCTACAGCCATAAGGACGGTGCATCACGTTAGTTTACAAAATCTAAAACTAAAATAGATAATTTTGGTTGAAAGTTATCAACATCCTGTTAAAATGTGCATTTTACTCCGTGACGATTTGTACATGACTACCACTCAAAATATGAATATGACAATAAATAATATCATTACGTAACTTGGTGGTGCGTTTTTAAAGGTACGTAGCTCACCTTACTCGGCTGTCTCACAGCATACATCCTTTTCAAAGACATAAAATGTAAAGGATCTATGACGTAATAAGCCGCCAACAAAGCTGATTAACAGATGGCCCACCATAGTGGACGGCTTCACACGTAACACCGGATCAAGCCCCACCGGAAGTAGCCCAACCACCGCCTCATCATAGGGACCCCAAACACATCACCATACTCCTAGCCTACTTAATGAGTGACTGAATGTTGTAAAACGCCAATGTCAGTAATATTCTAGCTACCGTATTCGACGTAATAAGCGCCCACGGCGTTATTTGCTAATATATTGGCAAGTGAACAATCCCAGTTAGCACCCCTTCCGATTGATCAATGAACACAAGACTTATTTATTCGTGTATAAAACGCACTCGTTTGTTATATGCACCCTTAATTATGGGCAATTAAATTCTCGAAAATATATCTATCTTGTATAATACACACAGATTCTTCTTCTATATCATTTCAGGCTGACCACAAAATTTACAATCTTTCAACCTCGTTTTTAATCTCACCAAAATCATATTCTAATAAGAGCCCCCTATTTCTAATTTTGAGAGCGCCCTGTGCGCTTATTACGTCGAATACGGTATATCACGGCGGCATGCAAATAGTCGAGTAGGGGCTTGACATAAAATTGGTTCATATACTTCTCAAAAGAAGTAAAAGACCACCCGATTTTTTCATATGACAGATTAACTGTAGTAATGTGAAAGGATCGATCGGTCCTTAACTTCTTTCGAGTAGCATAATAAGATAAAACTTCCACATTGGGTACGATGACACGATCCAGTTTAGTCGTCTTGACGACAACCGGATCCGTACGGAGCGGTTTACACAATGAGAAGGTTCTATGCACTTTCGATCTTGTTTGGAATACACCTGCAGGTTGTAATGGTGGGGTGAGGTGAAATGGGGTTTAACGATGAAATACCATGCTGCAGTTTAACATGAATACCCCACTCAGACACAGTATACTGACTCCGAGCCGACCAGTCCTTGTTTTAGACCCTTAATGTCGAGCGCCAGACAGGGTAACAACAAGTACCACCTTTTAACGTCTTTTGGTATGACGCGGCTGGGGATTGAACCCCGGACCTTCCCTTCTCCGGGCGGACTGTCTACCACTAGGCGGTCAGCAGGTTGAAATGTGTGACACATACAGTGGTCTAATACTAGCTTGACCAATTATATAATTAAACCTTCAATACATTTTGAGACATTTTGAGACAGACTAACCGCAAACGTTCAAGTGAGCAGTCATCCCGTGAGCTTCACCTTGGAACATGTGCCAAGATCAACATACTCTCATGATAATAATCCGTTGTGTCAATGAGTAAAATCACCTACAGTGGCGGTCAAAAAACAATGTATGATTGGCCCAATATTGGCCCACATGGTGTATAAAATTTAAATAAGGATTTACTGTACCCGTAAGAGAACTAGATGTGTTTGCAAGTTCATTAGCAGCCCCCTTCATTTCCCCAAAGCTCCCAAAATCTTAACATGCCATGTACTTCCAGTCCGAAAACACTACTTCTAGGCCTTGACCTTAATGAAGGCAACTTCTTCAGATGTACCAAGTACCACGTCTCAGTATCATACCAGTTCCAGCGCAACAGAAATTGGCAATGAATGACAATTACGAACCTGAATACTGACCTTGTCCTTGACGTTTTTTTTACCAAAAGAAGGTATGCACCAAGTTTCATGATAAATGCAAGAATACTCTTTGAGAAAGTGTAACCTCAAACATTTTAATGGTTTATTTCTATCTTGTGACCTTCGCCTTTGACCTTTTTATAGCAAGTGTGTTGATCAATACGTGTGACCTTTCATATCTGATATGTACAGAGAACTAAAATAATATTTCAGAGCATCATCTAATTCTTCTGTGTCTGTTGGGTTGGACGCTAGACCCATCCTCAATCACCTTTACAACAGAAACTAGATGCGCCATTTTGTTCTGCAGAACACAACATGGGAGGACACAACCAATATCAGCGCACGATGCCAGCCTTGGAGACAAACAATAGATCTATACCAGGCGAGTCGACTGTACCCGACTGAATTCTCATTATCACAACCAACGATGCACTATATATATAAATATACCTTCTTATGATTTAATCTATGAATAGAAAATAGCTTTTAAGAGATTCCTATGTGCATGTCCACTTAATAAGTTTATGGTTGCTTAACTAATGACCATGTATTTAAGCAGCTGTAAAGAACAATCTTGATGCAATGGATGACATTTGAATGTGAGTGAGTGTGGTTTTACGCCGCTTTTAGCAATATTCCAGCAATATCACGTCAGGCTTCACACTTTGTACCCATGTCGAGACTCGAACCCGGGTCTTCGGCGTGACGAGCGAACGCTTTAACCACTAGGCTATCCGACCGCCCCCTTTGAATGAGATAAAACGCTAAAGGGATGAAGGTATTGCCCCCAATTACCAGCGTAATCGTTAAACGTTGACAGACATGTTGTAAGATGTATGGATGGAGGATGGAGGCCCCAGTCACCCGGCCCGGTGGGCTAGGCGGTACATTATGTGTAGACAGAGAGACAAAATACATGTACCGTTATCAAGAAACATGGTCCATTTGTTCGTATAAATAATAAAACATGATATTAATATGTGTGATAAATAGTATATATGGACTATGGACCTATGCATCCATCTAAAACAGTTTGTTTAACACGTCAAACATCAACATTAGGCCACATTAAATTAATCTTGTTTCTCACACATTTTGTATTAGTTACTTTATATATCTTTAAACTCCATCTGCTGTGCCACAACCGGCACTGCGAAATTTACCGCATGGTAATATGCACTTCTTCAAACAAAGGAATCACAAACGAAATATGCTTATGTAACTATAGTGCCATGACACTGTAGCTCGCCTATAGGCAATATAAGGCATACAGTCATCAGCATTTGAGAGATTGGAAGGGCATGGTGAAGTTCGAATGTCAAATCAAGTCCAATAGTGAAATTATGGCACAACCGTTAGAAGCATATGTAGTTACATTAAAAATTTACAAGATATTAAATTTAGATTCACTTTACAAAACAAATCTCTGGCTAAAGGTCATAAACAGGGTTCTCAAAATGGCTGTGTTGGCGAACATATTGAAAATCGAATTTCAAACAAATGAAGGCGCCCAAACAGGCAACGACATGAGCTCACTTTACCTTCGGTCAGGTGAGCTACAGTATCACGTGTCAGGCAATGTTTGTGCCCGATGACGACAAGAAACAAGATTTCTTTAATGCGGCCATTTTATTACAAGTGATAATGATGTAATAAGGTCTTCTCAGAGTTCATAAACGTAAAGCACCCACATTGAAATCACAGAGTAGTAAACACGCATGCAGCTGCTGAGAGAACGTTTGTATAACTACCACTATCATCTGCCATAATTTCGTGCCACGTGTTCGCCTTAGTGAGTCTTACTTCCCGAAATACACTTTACCTAAAACAATACTAATACACTCTGAAGTGAGTTAAGATTTCGGCACAGCTTGAAACCAAGTGACCTTGAGGTATCATGGCCACATTGCATGCAATGGTCCATATATGTCTAATTACCAGAATCTACGACCACTAGAATGTGCCTTTTCATTGATGAACTTCATTTTAACAACGCAAAACTGACTTTTAATTAATCAAACCCTCTTTTTCGTCAAGTTCTGATAATTTGGTACGCCTTATATTGAGAATGTAAACAGTTGTGTATGGCTATCCATAGGAACGTAACCGACTAAATGTGTTCATCTGAATTGCCAATTTACTGATGTCTTGAGTTACATTTATTTAAAACAGTGTTAGAGAAAGTTTAAGTAGTGACACAAACGTTTCCCAGCAGCTTACTAAAATGCCAACCCTGAGGTCTTAAAATGAGTTTATACTTTTTTTTATTTTGTATATCAAGGTTACACTTTAATCTGGCCATACTTTTCTAGAAAATATAACAACTATCTGTAAATAGTTTTGGGGGTAAAATTCACTGTTAATACATAGTTTGAGCCAATCAGAATGACACAAAGTGTTGCCATAGTTACAGTATATAATATACACATCAATAACACAGTACACATGGAGTCAATAGATCAGTTCCACGGGACCAAAAGTTACTTAACAAATATATTTTTAAAATAGCACGCATTTATAAGGTGTTAGTAATTAAGAACAATTACAAACGCTTCTATCATATGTTGTAAAAGTGGGAAAACTGTCTTTGGTCTAGTCGCCGGAATTCTCGCTTCACCTATCAGTGTACATGATCAGCTTACAGAGATGCGATAAGCTCCATACTATAACCTCCCAACACACTGACGTCTCGTCTACGGCGTGGCTTCCGAAGAAGTGAATATCACCACCTCTTCGTATTATATGACCAAATAAAGGGTAGAGAATTATATAGATAATAAATCCTAAGAATGAAAGTAGGATTCTCGTATTCTTGAAACACATGAGAAAAGGAAATAATCTTTAAATTCACTTTCAACGAATTCAATGTTAAACATTTAGATATTTTCAACGAATCAATCCGCTTTAATATCATGTACATTATTCTGTATAGTTTCTAGCCAAAATCAGAGAGGCGAAAGAGGTAATGATTTTGCTTCTTGGGAGTCAACCGCTACTCGCTATAAAGATACCACGAAATAACGTTCAAGACATACGACATGTAACACGTGACATGACGGATCCATCTGGGACTTACAGGATGCGCAGACAAAGGTGAACTATTGTATAAGATATACCCGTGTATACCCGTGAATACCCGTGTAAAACAAGTCAACCCGTACCCCTGGAATAATAACGTGATCAGCATTCCTGGAAATTCACGTACAAAAGGTCATAGTCATTTTGAACTTGACATGTTGTTTTTTTATAAACGTTGTTATAAACATATTGAACGGCCCGTATAAACATATTGAAATATGTTTACAGACAGATATGTGATGCATACAATCTCCATAAACGTACAACTAAAAACAAGGATTATCTCCCCTATAACTACAACAACTTGAAGCACCAACCTAAAATGATCAAAGGGTAATTCACCGAAAACATTTCTGACCCATTACGTATATTTAAAAGGTGTTGAGCAAGATTTTATTTTTGATACTTAAGCGTGTTCCCTTAAGAGACTCCAGTATACAATAACAATGTTTATAGAGATTGTAAGGGTAAATTTTGACAGTTCCCAATGCAAAAGAAATATATAAATATTAAAGTTTTACGGGGGTGAATTCTAAATGTATATTTGAAGGCACTTGATAGAATATATTATTTCATAACATCATATTTTCAACATGTCAACTCTATTTCTTTATCCTGCATCCTGCTCGTCCATCGGGGAACGCACCATGCACGGTTGGCGTGGGGAGGTCACGACTTAGGAAACAGTCTTATAGTGTATGGATTGTTTTACCAATAGATTAGCCAGGTCAGGTGAAAGAAAGGTTGCTAAATCGATGTTTGTGAATATATATGTTCTGGCTTGACATCGCGTGGCCCGGCACGCTGTTTACGATCGATGCAGTTCCAGGAACATCAATACTTTACTTCTTGTACTCTAATTGGATGGGTACAATGGCGAGAGAAGTTCCTATGGTTTTGATTAATTAATTTTTAATTTTTCAAACTTGTTTCTTGATATCACATTTGCGCTAGTGTAATTTCAATTTTCTTATCAATAAAAAACAAAAAGGTCTGGAAATAATTAGTTTAGAGTTACATTTATATTTTGGCCGTTTGTTTTTCTATCCGGCCAGCTGATCCGTAATCCGAAAATAAAAACGCGTTTCCTCCAGTTAGTGTAATATTGCAACACTGCAGGGACAGAGAGGTTGGGGCGAATAGACCTAGAGACAGCTTTTGTTTTTAAGGAACCATAATTTATCAAACACCTCCGTATTACGTCAGTCACTTCACAATAGGTTGTTTTCTATCACCAGTCACAATTAATATTTAAAAAGCAATACACTTATTATTATTAGTTATATTAAACAACATATTTCGGTGGCTCAAACTCATATCTTTGACATATCTGTCTTCGATTGTTGTTCTTGAATATTGCAGATCTCATTGAATATGCACAGTTCATCCTATGTTATCTGAAGGACCTTTACGTGTCATGTTTAAAACTACACATGACTCCGAGGTGGGGTAAATATACATAAAAAAACCAACGTAATGGAAATTTCAATACGGAGGTGGTTTTATGTATTTTGTTGCAGACCCGCACAGGTAATGCGTATACTATTTTTTCACATACAAACGTCTCATATACAAATAAATAATTTATATTCTTTTCCGCCTTTAAAAATGTATTGCAAATGACTTCATCAAAATTGACACAGCTAACAAACATGTTTTAGATTTATACAAATCGATCTATATATATATATATATATATATACATTCTATATAAAGTGAGGTCACCTGATCTTGGTTTTTTTTCATTTTACTGTTATACCAAACATTGCATGATGGGGGATGAAAGCAACACACGAATGAATAATACTTGTTATTCGTCCTTACAGGCTTATAACATAAGACATTATTGTTTTAACAAATAATACATATTATAAAGTTGACTCTTATTCAATATGAAATAACCATGGCACGACAGATTAACTATAATAATATGAAAGATTCGAGTGTTTTTTTTACTTTATTTACAGTTTCCCTCGACCAATATTAATATATAATTTACTTGTAATTACTGTTAATCTCAAAAACATATTTTCCAGTCATTGGGGGAGGTTGCGATTCCTAAAGACAAATTATCAATCTAGTATGGTTTAACCTTTATTATAAACCTCACAAACGTAGTTAAGATATAATTGCTACAGTTAATTACTTTATTTTCATCTATATGAATATGTTAATATTCAACTTCTACATGATATTTACCTATAAGATTACACCTAATTAATTTGGAACACTGAGCTTAATTAAAATGCTTAGCATGCTTCCATGGACTATACACCTGCCCCATCATGCATTGTTTTTTTGGTACATTCTGTTGATATTTATGGAGAGGGCTTTTTATTTAATAATTTGTTCTGTTTTTCATAAATATGAAACAAAATGTAATAAACATTTACACATTAATTGTGAAATGGGTTCTGAAATGCTAAAACCTTTCGCAATTTGAATATCATATTCAGCAAGCGTTAAACCAGGAATATATATCGTGATCTCTCCCCTCATGTATGTGTAAATATACTACCAGCAAAATGTTAAGTTCCACCCGATGCTTTCCTGGTACTGTAGTAAACTGTCATCGTATAGCAGATTAACTATAGTGATATGAAAGGAACGGGTGGTCCTCCTTTTTGGTTACATTTTTAGTAGTATAGAACACTTTTCAATAAACATTCCATATGTATTTATTGTCTTTAAATAATGAACAAGCAACCAACGATGTCCCATGTACATCATATAATAGTAAACTCCCAATACACCCGTCACACAGTACAAACACGTTGTCTGTGATGAGTTAGGTAGGCGCTATACTACAGGCGAGAAGCACCATACAGTACCGACACGCACAGTGGGACGACACACAGAGTTACGATACGTATCATGGAACAAAAAGGATTCCACGAGCAGATGAGTCAGTCAGGCTTGCCGTTGTATATTCAGTCCTCATGCCGAAACAAGTAGATTTGTTTGCAGCAATCTTGAAAATGCCACTGCACTGACGTATGGTGCAAAGGCAGCCGTACTTCTAGTTTCGTATTGATATGTCGAGTGGTTACGGAGCATCACGATGTATCGGTGAATCGTCCCATCTGGGATTGACAGTACATAATTACTCATGCATTAAAACGCCCATACACACATGTAAGAATTTGCTATATACATACATGTTGAGTGTTACCCATGGCTCATTGTCATTGACAGAAGCTGGGATGACCACGAAGCTGCTGGACTTGACGACATCGGACTGATCCAGCGTCACGCCCATTGCGCATCACACACACAAGACAGTTCCTGTGGACATTAAACCAAAACGTGTCGGAAATACATTTTACATGCGTGACTGATCATATGACCTGCAGAACCGGATACCGAATTTTAACAAAACTCACTGACTTGGTTGATGCATGTCATCATATTGCGTAGATCGATGCTTATCATGTCAACCACTGGATTGTCTGGTCCAGACTCACTCATGTCCAGAACGCCGTCATATAGCTTGACTATTGATGAGTGTGGCGTTCAACAACAAACACGAAGATAGCTACTTCTTACCCCATTGCGATTTAGTGTGTGTTGTTTTACGCCGCAGTCAAGCACAATACCAGCTATATTACATGCGCTGAAAACAATGCATGAATTGGTTGCCGAAGTGCACTGGCCAGGAGGACTTGGTAACAAAAGATGTTGCGAGCCCTCATCATAGTGTGTGAGTGTGTGAGTGTGTGTGTGTGTGTGTGTGTGTGTGTGTGTGTGTGTGAGTGTGTGTGTGTGTGTGTGGAGGGGGGGGGGGGGGGGGGGGGGGGGGTTGAGACCATAACGCGAAACTGCTTGGTTGCTTGGTACTATACGTTTCTCTGACGTTTGTGGTGGATCTGTCGCTTTCACACGCATGGCTAATAACGCATACATGTACAAACCCGTGAAGTTCCGGGTCAAAATAGGTCTTCAGCAAACAATGCGTGCCGTAACCATGCGTGCCCGTAAAGGCAATTATGCTTATCAAAAGAGGTGACTTACGGTTGTCATATAGCTGGTATATTGCTGAGTGCGGCGTTTAACAACAAACAAATAAAAAAAAAAAACGTCAGTCATGATAATCAGGGTACATCAAAATCCAATTTTACTACTTTATGTGGTTTATGGATAAACTACGAAATAAAAACAAAACGACAACAGACTGTGACATTAAATGACGCCTTTACTGACTTGATGAGTCGTAAAAACACATATGTATGGACAAGAATTTTCAACTGGACAGTCGGGCCAACGGCACGGAAATGTTACTAGCCCTATTTAAAAGTCACTAGCATTTGGCTAGCGGGCAAGCATCTTTTTGAAAACAGGCTGAAAATGATCCAGCCTGGGCCAGGCAGACAACTGGTTGACAGCGTGATCAACAGTCCACGTGACATGGTGACACAGTATCAGATAGGTCGGACATTGTGACCATCCGATTCCCAACATGCATGGGATGCTTGGGACATACTCTACTCCGGAATCCCCGCGGAGGTTGTTCTCATATATCCTTCAGTTGTTTCAAATGCATTCACTGGTGAATGATAGGGAATTTAAGGATGCTCTATATGTTCACAAGCAGTGTGACAGAAAAACCCTTTAACTCGATATAATAATGGCTAGAATGTGTTTTTACTAATAAAAACATATGTCTCCCCCTTCTTTCTTGATACATTACTTCAAGTTGTTGTGTTTGCAAATCCGAAAAACAATAATATGCAAATTATAGCCTGGAAATATAACGGTTTCATGCAGAAATATTAATAGCTGTAGAACTTGGCGGGAAACAACGCTACTTTTTTTAGACTTAGTCCAAATTGTTCCCATGGAAACACAACAAATTAGAAAAAATAAAATTGAAAAATATGAAAGGCAATACTTGAGCTTGTAAGCCAAGCCAAGAGTTGTTTGAGATTAAGTCCAAATTGTTTCCATGGAAACGTAACAAAACAAAATTAAGAAAACTTTCAAAATATCCAAAGTCACCAGTGAATAGGATGAGCAATGCATAACCCAAGTTTCGTTGAAACATGTTGGGCAGTTCAAGATATGGCACGGACACGAACCTACTCTTGTTTAAAACAATACTCACCGTGGTGTTCAGTGCTAGTTTCCTGGACGCCCCCGAGTGGCACATCCTCTTCGTCCAAGTCTTCCTTCTCGCGGGAGTTACGGGAAGGTTGACATGCTGGGACGAACAGCCACATGAAGCCCACAACACTCACAACACACAACATACAGCACAGGGCGATGGTGATGATGGCAGTCGTGCTCAGTGTTGGGGGGACTGGAAGCAACATACCAGCGTTGTGTGTACATGTATATTATCATGTAGGCTCATTTAAAATGGGTTGTTTTCCACTGATATAAATATATACACAACGAAAAGGTTAAGCACCGCTTTACTATGTATTTTCCATATAAAACAGTCAATTTGAAAATCTTATCGTTTTGAAATTCTTTACTAAACACATATTTGTTTATTTTTTAAATGTGTCATGCACAATTTTTTACAGAACTCAAACATATTTTGCTACTGTTGTTTGTTTGTTTGGTGTTTGGTGTTTAACGCCGCACTCAGCAATATTTTAGCTATATGACGGCCGTTTGAAAATAGTCGAGTCCGGATCAGACAATCTAGTGGTTGACATCATGTGCGTCGATCTACGCACTTGGGATACGATGACATGCATCAACCAAGTCAGCGAGCCTGACCACCCGAACCTTAGATGATTATGGTATCTTTTCTCATCATCCGACAAGAGTTGGGGATGTGTTCCAACTAGATGATGTGTATTCACTATAACTGACATGTTACCTTCCATCCCTGGGCTGGTTGTTGTCGTGGTCGGTGCTGACGTGGTTGTCATGCAGTATGCTGAGCAGGGCTGGGGTATCGCTTCGTACCCTACCCGGGGGCAGAGTTGAACACAGCTATCGCACCGGGACAGCGCCGTGTCGAAGTATAGCCCATACTGACACTGCTCAGTGGGGACTGCAAGTCAAAGGTCAAGCGTCACGCCACAATAAAACTGACTTTCTGTTCCTACGACTAATAGTCTAATTATATAGTTTTAGGTGTGGAATTTATAAGGCCTATTTTAAACATAAATGCAAATTAACCTCCTTGAAAATTGTCTTCTCACCAAAGTTCTGAAAGTAATTTAAACTCTTTGTAGGGAATATAATGATACTGGGTAGAAGAAGCATACATCAAACAAGAGGATGCTTTATTTGGATAAAGTTATCTGGATAAATGACAAATTTAATCAGATTTTAATGTCTCTCGTTTGAGTGAAAGATCCAGCGTCCCAAAAAAACATTTTATGGCCTAAATAGTTATCATATCTATGACCATATGCATGTGATGTGGGTGAATATTGTCTAATGCCGTTGACAGCAATGCTCCGTCTATATCGTGTCGGACTGTAAATCATCACGTCTGGACATGGCAAAACAGTGATTTAAAGCACGAAGAACGGCCTAGGTCGTCGGATATATAAACACATTTGTCAGTAAGGTCACAAACATCGAACTCCGGGGACCAGTGCTACCCCGGAATCCCCACATGGACTTAACATCAGATACCGGTGTACGTTTACATGTTATAAACACACATATTCATTAATGGGTCTTAACAAAATTTGTACCCCTTTTGGTCCTGTTGAATAAACAAAATTATAACTTGAAAATTCCAACTTTTAGTGATTTAACAAGAAACATCTAAAGTTAACAAGTAGTTGGGTAAATTATGCCAACACAAAGAAACATAATTTTTGTCATATTTTAAATACACCGGAGAAACAGTAGAAATGTATTGTCCTTGGTGTAACCATTATAATTACCGATTATTTGCAGAAATAAAAAATATATACAATATTTCTTTCAGCGTATTATTGTAACACTAATATTTTACCTCTGCCTAGAAAAGAAAAAAATCTCACTTTTAATATCACCACGTTTTAAAACCTTGATCATCACTCTTTGTGGGAAATGAAGAGAAATAGTTTTCATTTTCTCTTCTCTGTGTCCCCACACATTGCCAAAATGATCCATATAATTTCAATATTCTTTATTTATTGAAAATGTTCTTTGTAAATCATGGTATGCTATGTGCCTTAACCTGAATCATTTTCAGAATTTCCTCTGGTAACACCAAAGACAAAACGGTTACACCAAAGACAAAACCATTACTCATAACGACTTTTCTTTCACATCACAATAATTTTTCAGAAGGAAATGATGCACACTATTTGGTGTTGCATATTTGAAATGGCATCTGACATTTTTGTTTCACAACGTTTTCTTTGAAGTTAATACTGCTGACTTGAGGTAACACCAAGGACATATTAAGTAACACCAAAGACATTTAGTGATTATAAAGGGACCTAAGTTAGGGTGTTTTCATAAATTTAAGTGTTAATTATGAGTTAAGAGTTGTAATTACAATGGCACAAGACATGTTTTACCCTTTAACACTAACTTCAAAATTATTACTTGCTGACTTGTGGTAACACCAAGGACATATTGAGTAACTCCAAAGACATTTAGCTTCATCTAACTGTAAGTTAGAATGTTTTAATAACAATACAAATATAAGTGTTAATATGATTAAAGAGTTCTAATTTCAATGTCACAAGACGTTGCCCATTCTATGTTAATAATTGCTGACTTGTGGTAACACCATGGAAATTTTACATTACATCAAGGACATATTAAGTAATACCAAAGACATTTTGTCATGATTTAGGTAACACCAAGGACAGTTACACCAAAGACATATTTCATTCAACATGAAAAAAAATACAATTGACTGCTCACTGTACAGTAGCCGACAAGATTCATTACCAGTGCATTTAACTCTTCTATTATGCATGTAAGGATGTTTTAAAAATGAAATAGTTTTCTTTGTAACAAGGTTACATGGAAATTACATATGGTGATGCTCGCTGTTGCCTTGTTTCCACAGTTTCAATAACGTTTTCTTCTGTTGACTTAAAAGAAATTCTCCGTGAAAGAGAGAAATTGATGTGATAAGGGAACATTCATTTACCTTATGTCTACATAAAGATGGATAACTCTGACACCTAACTAAACAAATGGTAAAACCAAGAGCAGACATATTTTGGACAGGCAGGCTTTGCTTATTTTTCATTATTTAATGACAGAAACATGGAGGAAACTGATGTTTATTTTTGAGATTCTAATCACATTAGTAAAATAACGACATAATAACTCGTGTATATGACACAAAATATGAAATATGTTCACTGAAAAATGCATTCGGTGTCTATTGACAGTGATATTTCAATAATTCAGACTATATACCACTCCACCACAAGTAAATAAAGCATATATAATATTTTATTTTGCTTCCACATTGAATTATTAGGGATGGAAGTTAAGGGCTATCTCTAACTTTATTTTAGATAGAGATTACTGCCATAAAAAGGGTACGGTACATATTTTGATAATGACCCTCATATAAAATGCAGAACAATAGTATGGAATGGAAAATAAGAAAAAACTTGTTTATTTTGTCTTCTTACTTCTCAAATAACCGATAGACCACAGGCCTTAGCGTCTTTGTGTTGGAGCGAAAGAGAAACTAGGGAATCCCATATTTCTACATTAGATTTAACTGCGCAGTTCGTGTTTTTCATTTAATCAATTATTTTAATGAATGGATCTGTAATATGATCACCCTATTCCGAGTTAGACATGTTTTCATTTACCTAGCCAATCTTTACATTTGAGCTAATCGAGTTCTACGTCAAGATCACGAGGATTGAATGACCTTACGTGTAAGACAAGAAAAGAGCTCTTACCGCCTTCGACATTGACAAGCGTTGTGAAAAACACAGAAGTTACGTAAAGATAATGAATATTCCGCTCTAAATTCGTCATGTTGATAATATGAGTCCCACAGGCACAGGAAGTACACGTCAACGCATGTGATACCACAGGTATTCCCTAGATTATGTCGCCATGTCTATTTATATCTTTGTATACCCACGCAATGATATGGCAATGTTCAATTTAAGGGTTAAGCGTCAGTGCCCGTGTATAACTGTTACTTTCACCAAAAACCGCCGCCGCCGCCGCCGCCACCACGGCACACGAGAGAAACGGACGCTACATCTGTGGTAAGCAGAATACATTGTGTTATTTGTTAACTTTTGTTTATTTTTTACTAAATAAAATTAATGTTAGAAGAAAATTAATGTTCTTAGTAAATTTTTATATTATCAACATATTTTACCCTAGGCAATATAGTCAAGATAAGTAACACAAGAGAAATACGTTAATAATAATAATAATAATAATAATAATAATAATAATAATAACATTGTTTAACAAAGACAAAAAAATTAAATTGTGCTCAATAATAGTTTCGAATATTATTTTAACTTTTAAGAAATAAGAACTAAAAGATATATCAATACATGTCGCATTGTATACATCAGGAAAGACAAATAACAACTTATTCAAGGCTCAATTTGGTACTATGAGGGTACAACAGCATCGTTATTTCGGATGGCACCATATATCCCCTTTGAAAATCGGCCAGATGAATGAATCTTTTATTGAACAGATTAACGAATCTTATAGAACACAAGACTATTGGCGTTCACCCTGGGTTTGTCAACATCCGTGCTGCTTGTTTAACCAAATTGCACAACGTCTGCGTCACTTTCAGTTTTTTTCGATTATAAACACCCCGTGACATGAACACGTGTTCAAAGTGGCTGGTATGAATCACGGAACAATGCCTTGTCTGCACGCAGCGCAGCCAGGGCCCCGTTCCACAAAGCAGTCTCAGCGCTAAGGTTTTCGTAACTCCCATACTTTAACACAGACATACGATAATCGTAGCGCTAAGATCGCTTTGTACAACGGGGCCCAGGTCGACTTTGTTGCTTTTTTTTGGTATCCGGTCACAACATGGTATGAAACCTGTGTGGGTTGTTCTGGTGTTGCTGTACATGTAATGTGAAACCTCATTCGTCCAATAACCCCGACTTCCGGGTGATTACTGTTAGGAACGTCTAGATAGAAACAACGGGATATTACTACGAACCTCTTATTCGTTTAATCCTTACGATTTCACTTGGAACAACTATGTCCACTTTAAGAGGGCAGTGCTGTTCTTTCGGGAAGCTGATTTGGAAACCTCCATTCGCTTTAGATTAATTAATCATCCAACCCAACTTACGGAAGCCTTTTAGGGCCATTTGTTTCTACTAAGATACTAAGTTGAAATTTCAAGATACAGATGTTGCAATTTCAAGATAGTATCTTGAAATTTCAACTTCGTATCTTAGTAAAAACAAATGGCCCTAAAAGGCCAAAACATTTCAACTTAGTATCTTGAAATCTCAAGATAGTATCGAATTTTTGTTTTTAAAAACAAAAACAAATGGCCCTAAAAGGCTTCCGTAAACTACATGTATCATGACTATTTTTCGCTAATCGCTTTGATGCTAAACACGCCTTTGCTTATGGGTTTTAGTTAACATAAGTAATATGAACATGATTATATAGCCTGGCCCCGTTCATCAACATAACTTGGTTTCGGAAATGAAGTCTCTATCCCCATCTCCACATCACAGAATGTCTCTCGTTCATTAAACGGGTTCCATTGTTGGTACGCGACGCAAGCTTAGCGTTTTTAGCCAACAGAGGACGGTAAAACAATAGTAAAAATCTGTACCATATCCTGTTATAGCTGCGCATGCGTAACATCCATGGCGTTGTTACAAATGCAAATAATCATGGAGACATGCGTTCACCTCGAAAGTTAGTTTTGGCCGAAAATAATTACAACAAACTGCTCTGCTAGTGTTAATGTTGTCGCGAGCACTTTTACTTCACAAACAACTTAACGTAGTCCACTATTTATTTCATTCGATACCGAGGACCAATGAATGCTATGTTTAGTGTCGTCCAATCGCAGCCTACGACAAATCGGCCTCCGCCTGTCTAGACAGGCGACCAGTCAACTTGCTCAGGCGCAGGAACACCATCAAATGGCTCTTCGAAACGCTAAAGTAAAGCCGATGCGACGTTAAATTTAACTCACTCACTCATTCAAAACGATAGTTAGGCACGAATCAAATTAAAAAAACGCGGCCTCGTACACGCGAGCTCAAGATACATTTAGTCGAATGAATGTTATAGATTAAAATTAAAAAAGATCTTTCCTTGGTACATGAATTATAAGTATTATAAGTCTGTATACTACCAGGCGTTACACGTTGGGTCTAAGAGGGCACACAAGTCTTGTACTGGTGATATGGCCGCTTGTGTCAATCGTAAAGGTGCTGGAAATTTGTCTGGGGATTTCTATTTTTTTTAATGTGCCTGAATAAGGAAAACACTTGCAGCAATGTCATTTTTGTGGCAGAAAATTTCTTCTTTTCCACAGCGTGAAGCATAATTATTTTTTTCAAGAATATCGGACTATTTTTAATATTGTGTCATTCGAACCTGACTCAAAACGAAGCCATGGTGAATGGGTCTGGAGTATATAGTAAAAGAGTTAATTAATGGAGGTATGATCCACAGGATAATCGCGGATGCAGTTCGGTGTTTGTCCTTTACGTTTTACTACCCATTTGCTGCCTTGTGATTCTTGGTCTCAGTAAATAACAACAAACGGGACATTGTTTGATAGAAACTTTATTTGCACACTTAAAAGCAATGTAACCAATACAATATTAAGTAGCAAAGGTAACAACAGTCATAATATAATTAGCCACGAATGAACTCAACTAGTTGTACCAAATCATGTATTGCCAGCAACCACGAATGTGGAATATATGCAGTTAATTTAATCAATGAAAAAAACATTCTAGATGAACACATATAGGCAAACCCAACTAGCCATATTCCACAATGAAATCAGCATAAGGCCGGTCCACATGCAGCCCAAAATTCGCATCCGTGTTTTTCTCATCACACTAAAGCAGCGCATCAGCAGCGCGTAGATATGAACATTTTAGGTCGCTCAAAAGATATTTTTTCTACTTGCTGCCCTGCCACACTGAAGATAATATGATGTTTTACTTTCGTTTTTATTTGTCTTCTCCGGTAGAGATACATCATTATTAATTCATTCTTCTCACGTATTTCCCAGTCCTTGCTTTGTGACAAGGTTCACAGGGGATCTATGTTGATGAAAATCTGGCCTTCATCAACATGCAATAAATTAATATACATTCAATTCTATTTAAAGAATTATTTTTTTTCTGAGCTGCAGCTGTAAAAGTATAATGCGTTAAATGTGGGCTAGGAAACCGCACTGATGTCCTGCGCTACTTCAGTGTGTGCCGGCCTTAGAAAATAACACTAAAGAAAAAATAATATTGTTGAAAAAAAACGTTATAGACTCTTTGGTAGCCTTTATAGTCTAGCTGGTGTCAGATCTTCCGACGTTATAAATACTTTTCTTGCAATGTATCAAATCTTTTTAAATATCACTGTGAATAATATATATTATTATAATTCATCATCTATTAAATTTGATCACATTTATCATAAAACTCTCACTTAATTTAATTTCTATGCACTTAAACATTGGAAATATTCAAATAGTCCATAACACCCGCAAATATTAATAGGTATACTATTCTTTCCCAAATAGATCTATTGTCATTGGTCTTGGTGTCTCTATGTTTGTTTATAGTAACGATGGTGTACATAAAACAAACAAGAATACTATATGTATGACAAGCGTTATTCTTAAATGACACCTACAAGGGCGGTGGCGACAGACAAGCGGTACAAACGTTGTCCCTACATGAACAATAAGTAGAAAAATGAGCCACTGCTCTTGAAATGTGATCGTCAACCAACTCGTTGTACACGTCCATCTGGGAGTCGGAAAGGCGTCACTGTTGTCCCCGCCTCCATCTGGGACTTGCCGAAGTCACCTCTACAACATGGACGTCAGAGCACCGTCAAAACGGAAATTCTTTCTGAACTTATCACTTCAATTTTAAAAATTATGTCAGTTTATCGTTTTAATGTATTTGAAAATGTCCCTCTGTACGTTCTTCAACACAGAGAGTGAAGGCAGGCGATATTTGACAATAGTGTTCTTGTTGAAGAGTAGCAATCATATAACACTTCATATTGTACTTCAGTTTTACCAGTTTTCAATTATGATATATTTCCTTTTATTGTGTATTTGTATTTATTCACCTGGTTAATTCTCTTGAACGCCTCGTTTTAAAAGCATCGGGTTCCCCTCCAGTGTGATCTGCCAATAGTTACGTAAACTATATTAATAAACTGTTGTTACTTATCGACTTGTTGGTCACAGATTAACAAAACATTGTCACATGGCCGCTGAATGTGTAAATATAATTTAAAAAAAGAACACACCTATACAGCAGGATTGGATATGCCTTATATCACCTAGGAGTATACAGAAGATATAACCCAGTAAAGAACATACAGTTCCCATTAAATTCGCGCGGATAAACGAGTGAGTGAGTGAGTGAGTTTGGTTTTACGCCGCTTTTAGCAATATTTCAGCAATATCACGGCGGGGGACACCAGAAATGGGCTTCACACATTGTACCCATGTCGGGAATCGAACCCGGGTCTTCGGCGTGACGAGCGAACGCTTTAACCACTAGGCTACCCGACCGCCCCCGCGGATAAACGAATATCTAGATAAACGAATTCTGCCTACGGAGTACTCAACTGTTGACTGCACTACTGATGATGCATTAAGTTTACCTAACGTACATATGTAGCTACTCACTCGTGCTACAGTCTTTAGTCCTTGACCTGAATATGTAATTTGGTAAATGTGAAAAATAGACAAGTCAGTATATTTTATTTTGATATGAGGGCGGCTGGGGAGGGAATAGGGGGCGCAGTTGGTGATTAACGTTGTTAAAAATTAAAAACAGTTTAGTTCCCGCTACGTCAAAATAAAGCTGACTTGCGCAATAACCACGACAAACACTTATCAGACAGGAGTTATCTATTGATTGCCGCTAGGTGGTACTACGTACCTAGACATCAAAGCGAAAGTAGAAACTGGCAATTCCTGATTAAGGTAGGACGGGACACTCATTGCCTGTTTGCTTTAAATAAAATATACAGACTGAATTCATCCACAAATTGTATAAAAGGAACCGTCAAAGATATTCGAAATTAGTCTGTGAATACGTCATCTTGTATTTCCGAAATGGTGATTACAAAGAGCAGGAAGTCTAATCAAGAGTATCTACCTGTAAAGAAGTATATTTTTCCATATTTAAAGCAACATCTTTCGATTTGTTTTATCTTGATAGCTGTTCAGACACCTTTTCGAAAGCCGAAGGATAAGGTTACCTGTACCTGTAAGGATATTTCCAGCTTGGAATGGCCTGGTCGAAACATGGCAAACTATCACCATCAAGAACAAAACCATTATCAATGACTTCCTCGTCGTCATCTTGGTGTTGTTTGAATGATTCACTATTTGATACTATAATGTTTACGATACGCCGAGCACTGCCCACAGTTATGATGAATCGTCTGGAGTAAGTGATGAAACGTGAATGCTTTCTCGAAACGTCGAAAGCGATCTATTTTTGACATGTGACTCTACAATGGGCGATCTTTTTCAATTTATCTTCCCTTCACTAACCCGCTAGGTGCGCTGACCCGGACGGTCACACTCCGTCGCAGTGGTGACTCAGCATAACACCACTGCCACAGGCTAATTTGCATATCACGTGACCGGACTTTTCTCTTGTTTGTAAACAAACGCGCTTTTTCAGAAATCAGTATAGATCGGACTAATGCAAGTATTTGGGGGCGCTTTACATATTGTTTTGCATAACTATATAGATATACTACAGTGAGTTGCATTACAATATATATTTATGCATCAAAGTGACCGTGTCGCTAGCTCTCCGTTGGGCTTCGATGACAGCACGTGGAGCCGTACAACCAATGTAAACATAGGATAACTACGCAAAAACAAGTAGATTTTTACGTATTTGCATACTTTCTCAATGAAAGTTAACCATTCTTTGACATTTGTTTATGAAAATGTGTAGACTTGTCAAACATGAAACGGATGAAAAGCATATGCAATATCTTGAATGGACTGTTAAAGATGTGACGAATCGTCACATGGCGCTGGCCTGTGGCAGAGGTACTATGCTAGCTGGCTGCCGGCCGCATGGAACTCTGGGTAGGAGAGTGCCGGACGGCCCAACTCTAAACTGACGGTGCATGTGGTATGCGCGATACGAGCACTACATGTTACTATGACGCCTATAGACAGTTAACTAGTATAACCTTCACCTTTTTCGGCAACGGTCACGCTTGTGTGTGGACAGCATATCTTTTCGCCTAAACAATGATTTATCTATTGCCATGTCCGGAAATAAATGTCCTTGATTTAATGATACATCAGGGATGACCACGACTGATTATATTGTATAGTTATCCACTAGATAGGCGTTCGAAGCGATGCGGTGAGATCAGCTGATCGTTCATCCCAGGTGGCTTTGTTGACGTTTTGCAATCGGTACTGAAAGTGTTGCCCTTCATGTATGAATATGAAAATTAAGTAGATTTTGTATACGTTCCTATATCTATGTTGTAGCATCGCCGAGCAGGCTACATCATATGCATGCATTTCAGTATGTACAGCGGTGACGCGATACGGTACGCGAAATGTGAAGGTATCATGCAACGTTGCCCGTAGCCTCAATGTTGTGTATATTGACAGCAACACATGTAAGTATTTGTCAGATATATAACAGAGAGCAATGAGGAATGTTCTCAAGAAATTGTAAGAGTAACAGGCACTGTAAAATTACGTCATAAACTAGATATTATGTTACAATGTTCAAAATAAAAGAAATGGAAATCACTGAAATGTGTTTTGATATTTAAGGGTTAATTGGTGCATGTTGTATACAAGGATTTTATGTATATGAATGGTATCTCTTTGTTGCCAATTACTACCATGATTATATTTCAATATGATCAATGAAAAATATATATTATTTTGGCCTTAAACAAATTCAGACACAGAGGACCCTAAATGTTAGTTAAAATACATATTCAAGAGTATTAATTTGTACAAACTACATTTTTTTAAATAAAACAATATATTCATACTAATTGCCAATCTCTAAAATGTTGATTGTATTAACAATGCAGTGTCTGCATTGACAATAATCATATGATTGTGACACAGATTAAAGCTGATTCTTAACTTCATTAGGCCTTGCTTTTTATGTTTCCTTGTTCTAAACTGATTTTTCAAATTCCAACATAAACAAATTATTAATGTTTTTCTTTTTTCTCTTCACACCAAAATATATCTTCATTGCACAATGACTCTAATTATTTTATTTAATATCTTGGCACACTTGTGCATGTCTACTAGTATTTGATTACACATGCATGACTTTTTAGCTGTCATCTGTTTCTGAACTGAATTTTATGCTAATAAAGATAAGTAACATAAAAAAGGGACTCTGGTATTCTTTCATGTTTGGAGAATCAATCAATTCATTGTGAAAACATTTTTAATTTCTTACATAAGTTCCTTTGATCTTGATAAGATCAAAATAGATACAAATTAAATTGAGGAGATTAAATTATGCAGTCTTATTCATTTCAGCCAGTCTGTCTAAAATCCGGTCCTATTTTTCAGGCAATAATAAATGAATGAAAATTTAAGAAAAAATATACCTTACCTGAGTGAATCAGTCAATATGCATATTGACTGAAATGTTGAGTCAAAATACATATTGGGCCTGATTATAGACACTGACTGTAACATATGTAAGTATAATCTGTTTTATGCAAAAACAAATAGCATAAATAAATCCATTTATCTACATGGAATGACTGTGGGGTTCAATTTGCATTTATTTAACCATCAGAAGATTCGATGATAAACTTTCATATTCATATTTACATATAAAATTGATATTTGCTATATGATAATAATATCTACAAAATATACTTTATACTACAGGTGTCTTGAAGTACTGTTAAATGAAAATCAGGATACTTAGATACAGCAGGATAGTGTGTTGGTTTGTATGGGAAATAATTTGTCAACATTAAAATAAATATAATGTTACTAAAACAAAAAGATAAAACTATGATTTAGATCTATTTATGCATCATACACTTTTTGTGGGGTAGTCAGTATGATTTGTTGTTTGTTGGGACACATCTCTGTAATAAACTACTATATAAGAGCATGAGTATCAGAATTCTGTGAGAAATGATGGATCAACTAATTAACACCTGTGGTGACTCAGCACTTTATGGTGGGACACATGTTCTAAGAGGCAGAATAATATGGGTAAATCTCTTATTTCAATGTGTGATGACTGGTATGTATATTGCAACTGAGTAACTGAGTACTTAGATCTAATAGATGCATGGTAGATGTTCATTTGGCCTATTTCTAAAAAAATAATATAAATTCAAATATTCAGATGCAACTTTAATTTTGATATAAAAAGTAACATTTAAAATCAGTTGTTTTATTATTTTGAACGTTGTTTCTTCATAAAATATTTGTAAAGGCGCGGATGAATACTTACTATATAGATCATTGGTTAAGGCCTGTCAAAGTTGTCTGTGTGCTGCAAATGTTTGCGTATCACTAATTTTATTAAATTGAAGTCCATGGTAGTATTTGTTGAGATTTGAATGCTTGAATTGTTGTGGGAAATAACACAAAGGCTGATAAATAAAATGAGTTTGCATTATTTCATCGATGCACTCGCTGTTTTCTGACGTAGAAAATACCGTGGCAATATACCATTTTTCATGACGTTTTTCACGCTATATTCCAAAGTGACAATTCGTCTTGTAGATGAAGACTCAACAAATGTTGATATTATAAACTAATAATCACTACAAAATATGTGCTAGTTAAAAATATTCAGTTGTTAACGACCGTTTTTGAACGAAGGTGCAACAGGATAACTCTTTAGCTTGGCTCCGTCTCTACATGTCAGTAGTTGTCGCAGCGCGCATTGATCCGGGAACCAGACCGGAAGCGACAGTTTGGACCGTCGCTTATATCATTTCAAAAGGAGAGTTATTGCCCTTTGGAACAAAAAGATCGCCCATTAAAAATAGAACATGGGAAATCCGGCCAGGTATGTGACATTTCTAACCACACCTCAGCCCCTAAATATGTTTGTCAACTCGTACAAAAGAGGAGATTGAGTGCGTGAAGATTGTGTTACGCCGCAGTCGGAGATGTTCCAGCTGTATCAGTCGGGTTGTTGACAGCATGAGCTGACCCGTACATGGAGATCTGGCTTTTGGCTGGGATAGCACCTGCCAAATGTTTTCGCTCCAGTATCCGTATATACGTTTACTTCGCTATTAAATACATGGGCGGATGCAGCTTTTTTTAAAAAGGGGGGTGCACAATTAAGATCTATTTATTGTCTTTGGTGGTAATTTATACAGAAATACAGATTACTAACAGACTCTGGTGGTGGTGTCTGTGACATCTACTAATGATGTAGGTTGCTGACAGACTCTGGTGGTGGTTCATGTGGCATCTACTAATGATGTACATTACTTAGAGACTCTGGTGATGGTTCACGTGGCATCTATACTAATGATGTACGTAACTAACAGACTCTGGTGATGGTTCACGTGGCATCTATACTAATGATGTACGTTACTAACAGATTCTGGTGGTGGTTCATGTGGCATCTACTAATGATGTATGTTACTAACAGACTCTGGTGGTGGTCCCTGTGGCATCTACTACTGATGTACGTTACTAACAGACTCTGGTGGTGGTTCGTGTGACATCTACTAATGGTGTATGTTACTAGCAGACTCTGATGGTGGTCCATCAGGCATCTACTACTGATGTACGTTACTAACAGACGCTGGTGGTGGTTCATGTGACATCTACTAAAGATGTACGTTACAAACAGACTCTGATGGTGGGTCATGAGGCATCAACTAATGATGTTGGTTGCTGACAGGCTCTGGTGGTGGTGCATCAGGCATCTTCTACTGAGGGTAGAGGCTGAGTTATGATGTAAACGCTGTCTGTCATGTCTGTGCTCAAGTAAGTACAACACGTGTTCAAGTACAACAGCACGTACAACTAAGAACGTTTTTACTTAGTTGTACGTGCTGTTGTACTTGAACAAAATCCTTCGCCGATATGACGTCAACCTAGCAACAAAGTGGTAGAGTCGTCGACTGTGTATGATAAGCTCGTCTCAGTTAACTATCATCTCCACATGCCATCGCCACACACCCACCAAAACAAAACAAAACAAAGAACCCGGCTCCCCTCCCGCCTTCCTCCCTCCTCCTCCTCCCTCCTCATCCTCCTCCTCCTCCTTCCTCCTCCTCCTCCTCCCCCCTCCTCCTCCCCCTCCTCCTCCTCCTCCCATCTTCCTCACTTCACCACCGCCCTCCCTTCACCACTACCACCTTTTCTATTTCTATTTTTAGAACAACAAAAGAACAACAACGAAGTCGATCTTTTTCACCTTGTACGGCCGTTTCTCTGGGTTTTTCCCCATCCCTCCTCCCCGGAAACGGATGCGACGCCCTCTTGGAGGCGTACGCCACCGGAAACGGATAAGACGCCATCTTGGAGGCGCACGCCACCGGAAACGGATGCGCCGCCATCTTGGATGC